CAGTCAGAAGAGTGGTAGAATTAGTGTCAAATCAAAACTCTGCCATCACCACTGAGTAAACCATTTTCCCCATTCTTATTTATACACTGTGCAGACTGAAGGTGTCCTGTGGCATCAGACACCAAGACGTTGGTAGCAGATTTAAGCACTTTTAAGTATTGGAATTTGGACGATTGGGTTTGCATAGAAAGACTTGTTTTTTCCAACATCCCACAGATGCTCTATGAGATTAATGTCTTTCCAACCACTTTGTCTATAAAGCTTCATGGGATACAAAAGGCCTACCTTTATCAATGTCCCTACATGGTCAATATTTCCTGCTTCCAACACCTTGCTGGATAAAAAAAGAAAGGAAAGAAAAATAGATGGTGATGAAGAAGAAATACTTTATTAATCCCAGTACGATCTGATACACCAAGCTACAGGTACCTTGGTGTTCATCTGAACAATAGACTGGACTGGATTCATAACTCAGACGCCCTCTACAGGAAAGGGCAGAGCAGGCTGTACCTGCTGCGGAGACTCAGGTCGTTTGGAGTGGAGGGCCCACTCCTGAAGAAATTCTATGACTCTGTTGTGGCTTCTGCTATCTTTTATGGCGTGGTCTGCTGGGGCGGCAGCATCTCTGCTGGGGACAGGAAGAGACTGAACAGGGTGATCCGAAGGGCCAGTTCTGTTCTAGGATGCCCTCTGGACCCAGTGGAGGTGGTGAGTGACAGGAGAACGGCGGCTAAGCTGTCATCCCTGATGGACAACATCTCCCACCCCATGCAGCAGACTGTGACAGCACTGAGCAGCTCCTTCAGTGGGAGACTGCGGCACCCACCGTGTGGGACGGAGAGATTTCGCAGGTCTTTCCTCCCCACTGCTGTCAGACTCCATAATAAAGACTTTAACTGATCAAGCACACACATCCATACATATGCAATAATACTAAGTGCAATAATCCTTTCTGTCATCGTTGTATTTTACTCAGTTGTATATAGTATTTGTATTTGTATTCTATTTTTATCTTATTGTATATTTATTTTATTGTATTCTACTGTATATAGTATTTTATTCTATTCTGTACAGTTGTGTACTGTATTTATTCTTATTGTATTCTAATTTTTGCCTCATAACTTTTGCACTGTCCACTTCCTGCTGTGACAAAACAAATTTCCCACGTGTGGGACTAATAAAGGTTATCTTATCTTATCTTATCTTATATCCTTGTGTTGGTGTTGTTCCCACATCATCATAATAAATGTTGTTCCAGGTTCAACATTGCAAGTGACCAATCACATTGTTGTGATGTCATACTTTTGCAAGCCAAGCGATTCATTCACAGTGTTGGTCAAGTTACTTGAAAAAAGTAATCAGTAACTAATTACTGATTACTTCCCCCAAAAAGTAATCCCGTTACTTTACTGATTACTTATTTTCAAAAGTAATTAGTTACTTAGTTACTTTTTAAAAACACGATTTACAACCTGAAGAGGTGATAAAGCGATAGATCTTTCAGCCCAATTCTACTTTTTCTGCATAATCCATAATACAAAATGTAATCAAATGGAAAAGTCTCTTTTTAAAACTTGTTTTATTAGTTTTAATCTTTTAAGTTTATGCATCAAGCAAAAATTTAATTATATGCAACATTCTCTGACTGAAAGAAATTTGCTTAACATTTAAACCTATTTTCTGCACATTCCAGCACATTTTTTTTTTTGTGTGTGTTTACACTCAGTCTTTCAAATAGATGCAAGTAAAACACAGCAGAAAATAAATAAAATCAAAGACTAGCGGTCCTTTTGCTCTATTTTCACCTGTAAAGCAGGAGTTGGGTAGGCGGAGGTTTACCCTGGTGCAGGTGTGCCGCGGTCAGTGGAAGAGTCCGCGAGTTTCTCTGTGAATTTCCCATTACGTCGTAGCGCACTCGGTGCTTGCTTGGAAGTTTGGGGGGGGTGTTTGGCTGTAAAAAGAAGTTTTCTTCCCATGCACAAACGGATGCTAATGTTTTTTTTTTCACTTTTTTGGAATCAAACTCAAAGTAAGGTCAGTACTTCCACGCTTTAAACGCTGCACGCTCATACTCTCTCCCGCACTCAATATATTGGTCGTGTCCAAATTCATGGGCTGCATCCTCCTGAGGCCGCATTTGTAGACCGATCACGTCACAGTGACGCGCCGAAGGCTGTCCAAATTCGTAGACTCCTCCGAATGCAGCCGACAAATGCGTCCTCCTTTTCCCCGAATTTGAAGGATGGGTCGGGTGTGTCCGTCGTGGCATACCATATCCCAGAATTCATAGCGCGGCCCAGCCAAACTCCAGTTTCCAACAATGGCGGCCGCTACTAAGTTTTAAAATTACTCATACTAATCTTTCTGGGTCACAAAATAAACTTTTAACATATTTTCAGGCGAGAAAGTAGTTGTGTAAACATCAAATATCTGCTCGGTTTATCAAGACATCGCATATTTGCAAAAGTGCTTCGACGTTTTCGGAGACATTTGCTACCCACCAGCTCGATAGCTAGCCGGGAGCTCGAGGGTCACTGATGCGGCCGAGAACGGCACAACTCCCGGCACATCATTTTCAGATCACCGCGGACTTTCGCTGCTCAGGTTAAACGTAATATATAAGTCACTTAGACAACCTAAAAATGTTATTGTTGGGCTTTTTTCTGTGTTTTGTTTGTTCGTGAGTCAATCAGTTTGGCTGAGATTAAAGTTATTAGATTAGATAAAATAAAACTTTATTAATCCCCCGGGTGGGTTCCTCCTTGGTTTTTACACAGCTGACTAAACGTCAAACAGAAAACTGATTAAACAGAAGTATGAGACAGTTGAGAATTTACGCCAGTGTCCTGTTATATTTTAGATAGCAAGGAGCAGACGGCCGAGTTTATTGAACTCCACCGAGACAGCGGTGACGCTAATCAGAAGGCTAGACCGTCCAATTTCACGGCCGTTTACTTCCGGCCTACCCGACCTTCTGAGGACCCGGCCCACGTAGACCACGAAGGCCGGGTCCTCAGGAGGATGCAGCCCATGAATTTGGACACGACCGATATCTACTGTTGATCTGCACACAGCTGTTGTCAAGAACGTCGCACTTGCTTACGTCACTGTCGTGAGACATTCTCACAAAAAAATCATGGTTTTAGTAACGCAGTAACGCAGCGTTCCTACGGGAAAGTAACGGTAATCTAATTACCGTTTTTGCAATAGTAATCCCTTACTTTACTCGTTACTTGAAAAAAGTAATCAGATTACATCTCTGTTCATTCATGAAATTCCAATGTTGCAAGGACAATATGTATAATGCTTACCGTTTATTAAAGAACAGTATCCTGAAATGCAAAGAGTTCAAATTGATGGATCGGCGGACAAAGGCGGTTTCTTTCAAGTTAAGTAGATTTTATTTTTTTAAGGCACTTTTTTCCGAAGTCGCAAAAGTATGACGTCACAACAATGTGATTGGTCACTTGCAATGTTGAACCTGGAACAACATTTATTATGATGATGTGGGAACAACACCGACACATAGTTTTTTCGTTAAAGTAGTACGCATTGGTTTATAATGTTGTGGCTGACTGGTGTATTGTGAGAAATGCAATGCTGAATGTAATAGTTGAGAACACCTGGAATTGGGCAGGGCAATATGGCCAAAAATATTTATCACAATATAATTTAAAAATTTGCGATAATGATATAACTGACTATATTATTGATGCAAGACAAAATACTTTACTCTACAACTTTATTAGTCCAAAAAAACCCATCAATTTATTTTCATTTAAACAAGCAGCAGTTTTTTATCTGCATTAAAGCTATATAAAAATGTAAGAGTGCAAATGCTAATTCCTTGCTGACAGTTTAACCAAAAGACATTTCCAGTGGAAATGGGCTGACATATCCTGAGCCTAACCATGTATAATATCCACAAAAGTTAAAAAGAGGTGCTTTGCAACATGAAACTATAAGGCGCATTAAGCAAAATTTAAAACTCAAGGCTATCAGTCACGCAGTAGAACATGGGAATAGAGCAGCTGCAAGAGAATTTAAAACAGTCAGATAAGTCTAACTTTACTCAACTCATTCTTCTTGCTTCAATCACTTCTGTACCATTGATTCATTAATACTGAATTCTCTCGCAGCTGCTCTATTCCCATGTTCTACTGCGTGGCTGACAGCCTTGACTTTGAAATCAGTTTCATAAGCATGTCTCTTAACAGGTGCCATTTTGGGGTCCTTACACACACACAATACGGTAATATTATGTTGAAGCACAGTATGTATTACTGTGAGGCTCCTGACTACAGTAGCCGTAATGCTCTGACAAGTGGTGGGGCTTTGTAGCTTACCAAAGTCATACAAAAACATTCTTTGATAGATTTTTGAGCGCTGTGTGCCACATAAAATCAGTTGGAGGTCAGTAAGCAGAACCAGAATTCATACATAAGGCGTACCGGATTATAAGGTGCACTGTCAAAGAGAGCCTTATAGTCTGAAAAATACGGTAATAACGACAGCCCGCTTGCATGTTCTACAAAGGAAAAAAAAGTGCTTTGGTGGCTTTCTGATGGACGAAAACCAAACCAGTTCCACATCACTGAAGTTGCATTTCTACAAACCAATTCTGGTTCATCTGTTTCATTCAATGATCCGCTTTTGCCCTTCTCATTCTCCGTCACTCCCATGCTTTTTCCGTCATGTGTGTATGAAAACAAAAGCATTGTGCATGCGCGTTTTACTCATAATCTATTGCAATATTTCATTTTCTTATCATTGCCTAACATTGTACCGGTATTATCATGAAACGTATAATATGGCCCAGCCCTACCTGGAGCAATACTGATCCATTAGTCAAGGAAACGAACTGCAGCCCATATAAATGTGGGTCTGTAGGGTCTACGGACTGCATTTGGTAAAAACACCTCAAATCAAAAGTCCTGAAAAGGAGGAATACTGATTGCGCAAAACATTTGGCACAAGTTTATTTTTTTTAACTTAGCAAACTTAACAAACATATTCATTTTTCTTGATATTTTTTTCAAAAGTTTCAGTGTAGTTAATAAAACTAAAACAGGCCTGACAAAATATTCTCCTCTATATCCGATTATCTGCAGAAACAAGAGTAAAACAGCATCATGTGCTTTGAGACAATAAGTCAAAAGAAAAAAAACATTTTTACAATTATGAATGTTTCCTCCTCATATCACTCAAAAGGGAACTCCAGAGGAGAAGGAATTGCACAAGTACAACAACATGTCATCACCAATTTCTTTGACTTTTTTCTTTTCTTTTTCTTTTTTTTAATAAGGCACACACGAGCACTCACATACAACATAATCTAAAGAGATTAGCTGCTTTTCCACAAAAAAAACATAACAAAACCAAAAAAGAGAGGCACTGGAAAAATTGCTCCATCGTACAGTCAATAAAAACAAACTAGAGACTCTTATTAAACTGAATTGTTTTTTAATTGAGTGGTTATTTTACTTATTCTAGAAAAATAGATTTTCTTTTGCTTGTAATAAATTTTAACATTCAAAAATGCTCAGAGGCAACCTTTCTAGTGCCTATTTTGGCAGCACATAGGACATAGGAAACAACAAAACCTTTTGGGCAATCAACGTCAACTACAACGTCAAATGTGAAATTGGAAGCACCAGTGAAGCGCAGTAGACAAGGACTGGACGATGAGCTGTGACGCCACACCAACATGCTAGGGCAAACAGGAAGAGATCTAGAAAAACAAAGAAAAAAAATGCACAACAGGGAGACAAACCTTGGTTACACAGTAATGGAACACAGACAGGAGAGAGAAAAGAAACTGACAATAATCACATTTATCATGGTGCTTTACTAAAGTCTAAAAACTCAGTAGCCATTTTCAGGGACAGAGTGAGGATGATGAGCATGTTACTAGAAACTGAGGTGGATGACAACAGCAGATTCACACATATAGAACAGCTATAAATGTGGTGCCAGCACAAAATCAGTGACAACATGCAAACAAACACAGCTAATCATGTAAGGAGACCAGAGGGTGTTACGGAGGTAGTACCTTTTTAAACCTCATCTTTAACATTTTAGTACCTGATGTAACATGCTGCACACATCTTCTATTAAAATCAGCTAACTGGAAAGTGGAACTGATGATGTTCAACATTCATTTAAGTGCATCTGGAAATCTGCATTACTTTAAAAACTTAGAACAAATGTTTGTTGAGACAGGTAGTAGTGGAGGGCAAATCGATCCAAATATCGATTGTATCGATGCCAAGTCGGCATCTGTATCGGATCGATACTGGCCTGGTGAGATCGATTCTTTACTTTAAGTTCTGCTTGTTTGCAATGCTGTGGTTTCGGCAAAGACAAAACAGCCAGGTCGCTGGACTCGCCGCTGCTGTGTCAGCTCCACCTCACCCCTCTTGTGTTTAGATGTTGGGCCGTCACGTGACATGGCTTAGACGCTTTGGGGGTTGTTGTTGTTTACATATTATTTATATTTTCACCAGTTGTTTTTTTTGTTGTTGGGAATTTTAATTGTAATTTTTGTATTATTATTTCTCAACAGTACTTGTTTGTTTTAATTTGTTAACTGGTTTGCGTTCACTTTTTAATTAAAGATTTTTCTAAAAAAAAAAAAAAAAAGTGATAATATTAATTTTATATTAGCATTTTCTATTTAATTATTTAATCTATTTAATTATAAACTTTGTCCAAATTATGTCCTGGGTTTTAGCTATTTTAATAATAAAAAACTATAATCACAAAAAACACTTAAAGTCAAGGTAATTAATTGAGATTTAGCAATTCAATGACGCATCCACTTTATTTGTTGAAAAGTATCGGTACGAGCGATACTGGCCCGTATTTCCTTGGTATGGGATTGATACCAAAATATGCAGTATCGCACACCACTAACAGTTAGTGGTTTTATTCATAGGGATGTAGCCAAATTCCTTCGTTAGTCTGCCTGACTATCGATCCCGCTTATCAACTCTTGCAATTTTGAAACTGAAACCAGCTGATTTCAGTTCATGTGTCGTCGGAGGAAAATAGTGGCACAGCTCCAGCGTGGACATGGACATTTCTTTTATTTTTATTGCTCAAAAGTACAAGAAGTGGAGACTGCTCCAGGACAGAAACAACTCTGAACACAACTTGGGCTCTTCACAAGCATCTGCATAGACAGCATCTAAAACTAAGTTGGGTTATGTTAAAGCTGAGTAAAATGCCGACCACAGCCCAGGGCAGTGATAAAGTGAGCTGTCATTTGTGGCAAAGCCAGCCGCTGCTGAACTTCAACAGGTACCAAACTGTTTCTAAAGTAGAATCACTGTGGTGGTCGCTTTGAAGTCTCTTTGTGCTGGTTTTCATCTTTGTTTGGTGTTGCTGGCTTTGGTGTTTATACCTAAATACTAAGAGAACAATCATGTGTGTCCTGTCAATTCCTCTCTCTATTTATTCATTTGAAGATTCAAGAACGTTGAACATTAATTTCCGTAAAATATGAAAATGTAACTGCATCTGTCCTGTGAGTGCTCAGGCCTATCTTTCTGTCACAGTTCTTAATTATCCTAGCCATGAGCACAGTTTTAATCCAGACTAATTGAATAAGGCCTTCTTGAAACATTTTAGTAAAAATTATTAAGATGGATGTGACATTCACATTAATTATACCTCTGGATCAAGTTAGGCATGATTTCCATGCCTTTATTGGAATAAACTAGTTATCTTGCATTGTTTCTGATAGTTCAGTTTCTAATTTACTCAGCGTTATAAAGTCTGGTATTTGCATAGTGCTAAACTAACACTGGATGAACTGATTGTAGAAGCCCATACTCCTAACTGCTATAGATTCAAATAGCTGTTCAAAAACTATTCTAATCAAACCAGTGAACCATATGTCTGTGTAGGTTCTTAGTCATCCAGGTCATGCACAAGGGCAACCTAGACAATATTTGGCAGGTGATTTAAATTTTTTAAATAAATAAAAAAAAATTTCAATTAATGACTGAGAGCCCAGAGTATTATCACATTGTGTGAGGTCTGATCTCTCATACGTTAAGGGCCCTCTCCTCAAAGGACACATTCAGATAGATCCTTTTAAGACGAAAGAGCTAAACAAATGGGGACGAAAAATGGAGTGAAATGAGGCACGTCCAGTTCTTTTATAAGGTTACATTCTCAATACATAGTTAACTGCCACCATGTAAATGCATACAATACATCAATGTACTTTTATTATAGATTTGTATTTTGACAATAACACATACTCGTGTCCCCCAGGCTCTCTGCCTTATTATTTACAAATAATAGGCATGACTTTAAAATGCCAAGTCTTAGCCTTTCATTTGAGAATTCAGTAATATACTGTAATATATACCTAGTCCAATTAGACAGTACATGACAGTCCTAAAGGACAGAGCCCAGGGAACACAAAGATGTGGAAGTGCCCAAACAGTTACTCTCTAGGGCAGGAGTAGGGAACCTAGAACTGGAGGACACCGGCTCTCGAGGCCTGGAGTTCCCTACCCCTGCTCTAGGACGTAACTTATAGCAGAAAAGCTGATCAAGCTATGCTAAACAAATGTTTTTCCTTTAATATGGAACTTCCTTGTCTTGAAAGACTTTAAACACTGATGAAATACGTGGGTACCCTGGATGTATTAATACTCCCCATGGTAGCCCCTCTGCAAATAATTCAGTTTTGAACGTATCCTTGGTATTATTTTTAAATTATTATTAATATTCTAGCAAAAGTATCGGATGGATCCTTCATATACAGCTCGTGCCACAATGTCATGTAATACACACCAGCAAAAGGAAACAACGTTCAACAGGCAAGTCTAGGACACACACCAAGAGATGAAGTGAGGTGGCAGATTCCACATTTTCTTCATAATTTCCCATCAGATAAATATTTAGACAATAATAGTTCCCCAAGACTTACAGAAAGTATAAAATCTCTATGAAAATAGAAAAAGCATTACGATTAAAATATATATCTCAACATTTATCTTCCTTCCTAGCTCTATGTACAACGAAACATGCAAAAAACAAAAACACAATATAATTTCCTGGCATTTCAGAGAGCTGCCAGGACAATCTTGCACAATATATAGAAAGTCTCTAGCCCTTGAGGTCAGCTAGCTGATAGCTATCATGAAAAGGGAGGGCTGGTGGAAAACTAAACTAAAACAAAATGTAGTAATGAAAACCATCATGTTCACATTGCACAGAATTTTAAGCAACTGAAAGAAGTCATTCAACTTTGGATTTATTGTGAAAGTTGGGGTTATTGCTTGTTAAAGTTGACAGTTAAGCTTCATAGATCACATCAGCTCAGTCCCTGATGTTTCACCCAGGTTGATCTACATCTCAACTGCATGTTTTATTAAATGTACTGATTATACATGAAGTATAATTCCATATCAAGTATAATTGGTCATTGTTTCTACACTACACTACACTCACCCCCTGAGGCCTCTCAATTAGTGTTCACCATAAAACTGTTGCTGTTGACAAACAACAGATGTAATATAATCAAACATGAAAGTGACTCGATTACGGCTATGTCCACACGTACCCGGGTATTTTTGAAAACGCAGATTTTTCTATGCGTTTGCACCTTTCGTCCACACGTAAACGGCGTTTTTGGTCACTGAAAACTGAGATTTTTAAAAACTCCGGCCAGGGTGGATATTTTTGAAAACTCCGTTTTTGCATTTACGTGTGGACGAGAAAAACTGAGAAAATGCAGAAAACGCAGTGTCAAAGGTGTGCGCCTTTGACGTCACACTGTGCGCCACGTTATTGTTTCGGTGAAATGAATTTCTACAATACTGTTAATTGTTCTCTCTGCAGTGTTTAAATGCTCACATATACACACAGTTACTGTCCCTCCACACATACGACTCGGTTCTGCTTCTATGCCCCAGCTTTGTTTACTTTTTCCCACCGAGGCTTCTAGACTTCTGATTGGCCAACATTTCTGCACGGTTAG